TTTAATATTTATTATTTATTAATAAGTTAATAACTACCTTAGTACTTATTAACTGCTTAGCAAGTGCTTATTAAGTGCTTATTATTTTAAAAACTATTTAATACTATTTAAATTATCTAAATTATTATTAAAAAATACTTATTAACTGCTTGCCAAGTAGCTATTATTTAAATGTTAAAATTTTATTATTATTATTACTAACTACTTGCTAACTGCTTGCCAACTGCTTGTCAAGCAGTTTTTATTTTAAATATTATTTAAATTATTTAAATATGTTAGTATTATTACTAACTGCTTGCCAACTGATACTGCACTAAGCTTAGGAGAACGTGAATTACTATGATAGGAAAGTATTATGTATTTATAGTAGGAATTAATTACTAATTTTTAAGTTAAAGTTTTAAGTTAAACTTAATATTTTATATATTATATAACTAACAGCCGCCTTACCACGTGGTTAAATTAATATTAAAGTTCTTTTTATTAAGTAGCCTTAGGCTGCTAAATTATATTATTATAATATTATATAATTATAATATTATAATAGTAATTATAATACATCCCTTTTCTAAGTAATTATACCCTTGTAATTTATAAACTTATATTTTTACTTTATAAAAAGTAATTTAAATTATAAATTTTATTAAGTATTATAAAATAAGCCCTCCCTAAATATATAAAGCATTATAGTTTACATGTAATTTATATTTAAATTAAGGGTAAAAAATTAATTTAATCATTTTATTTTATTACTAGGTTTAAATATAATATTACTACCTGCGGTGGCTAGGCATAATATTTTAATTTTGATATTAAAATACCCTTATAATTTTTGTTTTTTTTTTTAATTTTTTTTTTAAATTGTAAAGTAAAATAGCCCTTATAAGTATATGCCTTTTTATTATATATTTATTACTTTTTAATTATTTAATTATATTTTTAAAATTAATATACCTTACATTGACCCTTTCCCGTGCTTTTTAAGTATTATATTATTTATTTTAATAATATTAATTATATATTAATATTATTAAGCTTATAGATTTTATTGCTCCATTGACTTGGCTTGACAAAAGAATGAACAAGATATAGGACTATCTTAATAGTAATATAACTAGCTATTTAACTAAGATAAATAACTAACCTTATTCCTGCAGAATTAAAATAAGTAAAAATTTTATAATAGTTATTAAACAAACTATATATAAAGTATTATAAATAAATATACTTAAACTTTCTTGCTAGTACTAGGACCTGGCTTTTTACCTATTTTTTATATAAAAAGTAAAAAAATAATAGTACTTTTAATTTTTTTTAGTTACATGGAATCCCGGGCTTTAAAAAAAGTAAACTTATATAAGTTACTATTATTTTAGCCTAAGAGTATATTTTTTATATATTTTAATTTACTTGTTATTAAAAATATTTTAAAATTATTTAAAAATAGCTACTTATTATTACTAGTATACTTTTACTACTTACAAAACCCTGCTAAGCCTGGACCCTTTAATTTAAATAATATTTTTACTAGTATTACTTAATAGTTCGCGCGTGCTAACAGCATAGGCTAATTATTTATATTAATAATTACTTAATATTAAAAAAAAGGATTTCCCGCAGGTTAACTTAAACTAAATAATTATTATTACCTTATTTTTAAAATACTTTTTTTTATTTTATGGTTATTGTGGTTATTAATGCGCTTAATAAATATAACTTAAAAAAATATAAGCTTTTAAAAGTTTTTAATAATATTTTATAAGAGTTATTTACTTTAGTTAAAATACTTATATTAAGTAAGAATAATTAGGACCTTATTTACTATTTTAAAAGCTACCCCACTATTTAGTTATTAAGTAAAAATAACTTAAACAATATTTACTAACTTATTAAAATTAAAACCTAAAAGCTTATATATCGCGGCTAATTACTAAGGTTTTTTAATTATAAAAAAATAAAGTAAATTATTATATATAAGGTTAGTAAAGGCGCGAATAGGATATAAGTTAAGTTTTAATAATTTATAAAATTAAATATATTAATATTTAAAGGTTTTTTTAGGTAACCTTATAGCTGCAAGCACTTTACTAGTTAAAAATAAATAAAATTATTAATAAAAAAATTAAAAAACTTTTTTTAAAGCTTAAGAATTTATACTATAAAACTTTTAATAAAATTAAACAAGGGCTATCCTAAATTAATAAAAAATACGCCTTTAGCATCCTGCAATGGCTTCTGTTTGCCCAGCAAAATCTCACCGTGGATGAAATCCTGGCAGCGGCATCAATCTCTGTGGGACTACCAACCGCCCGACTTACAAAAGACCAGATCCTGGACCTGTGCTGCAACCTTGTTATATTTGACGCCGAGCTGGAGGCTTTTACCTTTGCCCACCTTTCAGTAAGAGAGTTCCTGGAGAACCAGCCGCTGTTCCCCGACAAGCCGTCCCATGCCCTTCTAGCCAAGACATGCTTGTTGTCTCTTCTCGGCGACGTTGCTGCGGAAGCACCGGATGCCCTACTTGAGCAGTATAACATCCTCATGAACGCAGATAATCTACATACTATATCTCGCTACGCGGTTCTCCACTGGGCTCACCATTGCCAGTGTGCTGGTCGTCCTCTGCGAACCGTTCACCTCGGAGTATTAATGCAGTACTTCCTATCTCCGGAAAGAGACGGAATGTCGCCAATGTTTCGATCCTGGTAGATATTAGGGCTGAGGTGCCGCCATGGTTTTTTCTATTTCCAAGAGTTGCTTCCTTGCTTCGCAGAGGAAGGGAAAAGCAAACACTCGGGAATGCTCACTGCTTGCCGTTTTGGCTTTACAGAAGTGCTTGAAAACCTCATCAACAATGATACGGATTTTACTTCACGGAATACGTACGGACAAACATGTCTGGAGTTAGCAATGAATTATCGCAACCTGAGCTGCATGGACTTACTGATCAACGTCGATTGCGGCCGAACCCCAACGGAGCTCCTGGTTCACGCGGTCGCTAGATGTTCAAAAGAGGTAGTAGCCCATTTGCTTCAGAGCATAACGGGCATTGAGATTACCGACGAAATACTGCTGCGTGTGCTTGAGAAAGCCTCAGTTGAGTATCTTTTGACAATGTTGAAGCTATTGCATGACTATGACTGCGACGGATTTCATTCTCATATAACCAGCGAGGTCATGCTTGCAGCAGTATCCAATCATTTCGACTGCAACGTCGAGCATGTCGAGCTCTTATGCAAGAGAGGCCTGGGCGCGCATCTGGTTACCGAACAAGTTTTTGCAGCCGCCGCAAAACTTCCGGACGGTCAATTTGTCATTAAGATCCTGTTAAATGCCACCGGTGGCAGAATGCCTGTTACAGAGACGATCGTGACAGCTGCAGCTGGGAACTCGGTGCAAGGGATTGCTATCATTGAAATACTCTTGGGATATGCCGGGAGCGAAATGCCTCTTACAGAAGCCGTTTTTATAGCTGCAGCTGGGAATGAAACACAGGGGAAAGAGATTATTGATGTTTTATTGAAGGCCGCTGGGGGTTCGATCTCCGTAACTCCAGACCTCGTGGCAGCGGCTTCCAGAAACGGCAAACAAGGGAGTCAAATACTGGAGACCCTCAGGGATCGGGGTGTTGTGGCCCTTACACAAGAAATGATACTAGAGGCCTGTTGGAACTCAGTGGGGGTCCGAAATAACCTGGAAATCCTCTACCGCAAACGACCAGGGAAACTGAGGCTCACAGAACTGATGGTTATGGCTGCTATTGCCAGCGGACCCGAAATCTTAAGATTTCTGCTTAACCGGCACCGATATTCAGATGAAGCAATCCCGCTTGGGACATCCGGCGAATTTGCTCACGGTGATTGCAAGATAACAGAGTTTCTTCTTCTTGCAGCTTCACAAAACAATCCGGAGAGAGATCCCGTCACTGTCATGGAGATATTACTTGACCACGGGGAGCCCGGTATAATTATACCTAATGCTGTCCTTGTTGTTGCGGTTAGGAGTGAATCTGCGAATAATCTCATACCCCTTCTTCTGGACCACAAGGGTTCTTTGCTCCGCATCTCGGAGCTTGCTCTGATTAGTTCAGCCAGGCATCAATCCTGCGAGCTCTTCATGCTGCTACTCAACAGGGCGGCTGATGGAATGGAAGTAACAGAAGATATTCTCCTAGCGGCAGCCGACAACACGCATTACGGCACTGAGATTATGGAAGCGATCATCCGCCACAGTCCGCATCAATTGCACATCACTGAAACGGTGCTAGTTGCGGCTGCAATGAACAATAATCAGAATCCCAGACTTATGACAACTCTGCTTCAATACGGCCGGGGCTACATCCAGATCACCGAGAGTATGGCTTTAGCTGCGGCGCGATGTACCAAAGGAACGGAGCTGATGGAAATGCTTCTGAAGTGGAAAAATCCCGTCCAGTATTCGGATCGTATGTTGGAAAGTGCCGCTGGGAATTGCCTTGGAGGAAAACAGATCGTACAGTTATTGATCGATCACTTCGGGCCCAGGGTCCGTATCACCAATGCCGCGCTTAAAGTTACTCTAGGTGCATGCATCACGTTCGACGAGAAGGTTGAGAGTCTCGCGTTCCTGCTTAACCACTATAGGGAGGACGCATTGATTAGCGAGGAAGTCTTCCAGGCAGCAGCCAGATCGGATGCGGAATCGCCAATATTTCTGGAATTGCTGGAAACACATCAGCGTGCAAACGTCGAGGTCACCGAGACCCTTCTCCGTTCTGCGGTAAGAAACTGCAGGAGCCGTCCGAGCCCGCTGGATTTTCTCCTGCCCCGATGCCACGGTCCAAGTAATGTCACTGAAGATGTACTCTTGGCTGCAGCCCGTGCGGGTAATGACGACGCTCTAGTGCTTATACTGGAAAATTATGGTGCGGAAATCAACATCTCAGAAGAGGTGCTGAAGGCCACAGCGCAGCACTGTAACATTTATACCGTTAAACCTTTGCTGCGCCATCTCGCAGATGACGCACAAATCACACCGAGCGTCCTTAAAGCGGCTGCCCTTAATAAGACCTATTCCGGGGTAGATGTTCTAGACTGTCTGGTTAACCAAGAAGGGCAACACCACATCACCCCCGAAATTGTTACTGCAGCAGCCGCAAACAATTCTTGCGGCGCAGAGGTTCTCTCCCACCTTATCTCCCGCTTCCCAGCCGAGACAAGGGCTGCAGTTACACACGACGCTTTCTTAGCTGCTGTCTTCCGCGCCAATTGGGACGTCCTCCGCATCCTTGAGGATTTTGGCATGTTCACCACACCGCAACACAACGCAATCGCCCATCTCTACGATGCTGCTCGAATTGGGGATATCTTTATAGCACGAGGCACCCTCGCTGCGGGGATCTACCCGGACCACAGCACCCGAGAAGGCCTGACGCCATTATCGCACGCGGTGGTCTATCGTTGTCGGAAAGAGAAAGATACCATCGTCAGGGATCTCCTTGCAACAGGGCGTGTGGACGTCAACTCTAGAGATTGCCTAGGCCGGACGCCGCTGTACTACGCCGTTGAGTCTTATGGCTGCCACCATTGTTCCAGGGACCCAATCACCATTCAGATTCTGCTGGATGCGGGAGCGCGGATTGATCTCGCTGATGAGTTTGGGGAAACGCCGCTTGATTTGGCCGTAAGGCAGGGCAAGTACGTCGTAGTGCTTTTGCTGCAGCGGGCCGCTCAACTGCGTGGTGAATGTGTGGATGGTTCTCAAGGTGAAATTGTAGAGCATAAATCTAGATAGACGTTGCTAACTAGCTACATTGCGACTTACCTTATGGTGCCGTGCGTATTTCTCCATGGATATGTATTTTTATACGGCCTTAGAACTTTTGAAGCCCTTGACTAGATTAGATAACTGGTATAAAGTCAACCCTAAGATTTGTTCACTTGGGCCTCAATATAGACGACTCCATCTACAACAGATAACATTTACCCTCAGGTATTGACAAAATGCGAGATTACCACGGCCAAGGCCATGCCCGCTAGAATTAATTAAATTGATATAGATAGACAATCCATGCATAAAAGCACAATCACCCACGTGCAAGCTCCCAACCAATCAGAAGCCACCGCCAATCCTGCCTCAATCTCTGCTTGAAGCTCCAGCTGTCACGAAATTCACAACTTAAAGGCTCCATTCCTCCTCTTCCTGGACCATGAAGACAGTCTACGAAGGTATCCTCGAAATGCTAACCTTCTTCCTCTCCCTTCTTCTTCCAGGGGCCTCCCTGGCTGCCGTCGACAGCTTTTACCCGCCCCTGAACCACACCACCTACATCACCAATGCCTCGCTGGGCACATACGGCGGTGTCTTTCATGCCCCGTCGGACAAAGCTAGCCCCACGGGCGACAGCGTCTACAATTACTGTACCATGCCTCATCCGCATGTAGACACTTACTCCCTGCCCGCCCCGGTGCGGAATGGCTCCGTGGACGCAAAACTAGTGTATCTCGAGTACGTCCAACGGCATCAGAGACGCACGCCGTACAATATTCTTCCGGGTGGAGAGGTAACTTCATTAATTCCCCGGTTCCCCTCCATATGACTCAATCTTTTCTAACGCGGCGTCCAGAACCAAGAATACAACTGCGACACAATCCACCCACACCTCTTCGCCTCCCCCTCATCCGGCTCCCCGGCCCCAGCTCAAGTCTACGGACAGGCATACACAGACCCCTCAAACCCATTCCTGTACCTATCCAACTACGTCAACGGCACCTGCCAGTACCCACAACTCACAATCGGCGGGTACCTAGACGGGGTCCAGCACGGGCGCGACCTGCACGAGCTCTACAGCAAGAAACTCAATCTTATCCCGTCAACTCTGACCCAAGCCACCAAGGACAAAGTGTGGTTCCGCTCCAGCTCCGCAGCGCTGACGCAGGGGTCCGCCGGCGCCGTCCTCCGCGGTCTCTGGCCGACTTATACCGGTCCGCTACCATTGCACCAGCAGCCTGCCAGCATCGACAGCATTAATCGCGGATTTTCGTGCCCCAAGCGTGATACGCTTCTTGATAGGATCCAGAGTACGACCGAGTGGGACGAGCATATCGCTGTGACTGAGCCCCTGCGCACTAAGCTGGCGGATATGTTCAATGCGTCTTCCGACGCTGCCTGGATGGATACCTGGGACCATTTCGCGGATAACTTCCAGGGCCGGCTGTGTAACGGGTATGAGCTTCCTTGCTCTCTACACGACACCTCGGCGTGCGTGAGCGACTCCCAGGCAGAGGAGGTCTTCCGCGCCGGCGACTGGATGTACAATTACTGGTGGCGGAAGAACCCGGATGTCAGGGAGTATATCCAGGTTATTGAAGGGCTGTTTATTAGTGAGCTGGTGAGGAAATTTGAGGCTGTGCAGAAGGGGGAGACTGGTGTTGTGTATAGTCATACGTTTGCGCATGATGGCGATATTGCGCCGCTTTTGGGGGCGATGGGCATTCGTGCGCTTAGATGGCCGGGGATGGGGAGTAATGTTGCGTTTGAGGTTTGGTATGTGGATTCTCTTTTCGATCCGTTGATGATATGGGAAGAGCTGGGTGCTAACGTTGGATAGGGAGACATCTACACATGAATTCTTTGCGAGGGTGTTGTATAGCGGGCGGACGATCGAGACGGTCCATGGGGTGCTCGAGTGGATTCCGTTGGGCAGGCTGATTGAGATCCTGAGCGTGTTTGTCCCTGATGATATTGTGGCTCTTTGTAACTCATAGATGGGTAGCAAGCAATTGCTCAGGAAGTAGAGACTTTGATATGTAAGCTCTTTCATTTGTCATTTCATGTTGTTCTATAACCGTCTAGAGCAAACAAGACCACCACCGAAAAGCGATAAATCTGCCTTCTGCGTTTTGAAAGCCTCTAGTCCTCAGACCTCCTCATCTTCTGACTCCTACCTGGAATAACACTACTCAGATCCCCGACAGGCAGAGAGATCGGGAAATCAACGGCTTCCAAAATTTGCGTGAGGAAGATGTGCCAGACGGGGACACAGAGGGCGAAATTGAATGCGCCACCAGCCTATTCACATTAGTTCTTTATATCCCTCCTTGCCAGGTGTACAACGGTGAGACTCACAACAAGCAATTTCTCCGCCAACTCGTGCGCGCCATTCGCCATCTGGAAGAATGCAGCGGCGACAAGCGCGAAGGTGATGACGAGCAGAAAAAGCGCGGAGAACAGGCAGACGTTTGTTCGGATCGAGCAGATTAGGTAGATGAATGTTAGGAGGGAGAGGAAGAGGTAGTAGAATCCTAGCGTTCTTAGTTAGATTGTGGTCTTTCAGGGATATAAGGTCGGATAGTCGGATACGTACCTATTGTCGCCGCGTATCCCTCGGTCTGCTGCCCCTCAAACGAGTTCCCAGTCGGCGAGTAATTCATCCCAGACGCGAAGAACGGCATGAGGCCGCCTCCCTGGACAAGCCAGAATGTGCCTAATGTCAAGTAAACATCCAGCCCCGTCCCGGACATGATTCGCCAAGTACACTGGGGGTGAGGGGCCATACCATAAGTAAAGAAAATCGCACAGCTAAACGTATTCCCAATAATCCACTCCCCAATCCCACCGAGAATCTGCACAATGCCCCCGAAGAAGATATAAGCCGGTACAAGCGCGCTCCCGTTCCCGCCGGCCCCGCGCCACCCCATAAGCATGCATGCGTGTGGCGTCGAAGCGATCAGGAACCCCATCAGACAGATTGGTGTTGGATTGCCGAATTTCTTGCGCAGATCGCCTTGCACGCTTGGGTGTTTGGGGCTCAAATAGAGCTTTTCGAAGGTCTCGCGGGAGATGGGGAGGAAGATGCTTTCGGCGGTTTTCATGCGGTTGAGGTGCATGTCGTCGGTGGGTTTGGTGTCGGATGTATCGCTCATGTTGGCGGTGATGGGAATGTTGGATGGGTTGGTGAGATGGGGATGGTGAAGTGGAAGCTGGAGACAAGCAATGAAGGATCCGGGGGGCAGAGCTTATATACGCCCCCGGAGTGCTTGGTGCCTGTGGGTGTATTTCCCCTCAGTCCAGACAGGCTTGAACCCCTGGCCACGGTCATGGTTACATCGAGCCAACCAAATCATGGAGCTATCTGCCTTGGCGGGGGATAATGCGGGGGATGGGCTGGAGCTGTCTGGCCACCGTCTCAATTTGCCTAAATTTTGGGCGATTACCGAGGCCTGCGTGACGTGGGGAGTCCCAGATGCGTATAACCGGGGAAGTTGGCATTGGCGAATGCGAGAGTGCGGGGGAAGATAGGGGGGCTCCGCTATGTGGTCATGGGGCAAATTGCGTTGAGATAGGGTTATGGCATGGATTGCCCTGTCTGTACAATTGGCGGTATTTCACCAATGTAGAGTCGTAAGATGCTCTTCAGATGGCTGGCTTTGTCTCTTCGCCCAAACAGATGCTCGACTTGAATGCTTACTTTGCAATCAGCCCGGTATACCTCTGCTCATCATAAAGCATGAATTCGCGGGGTAAAGGGGTGTGCATGTGGGGATAGCGACCCATGGATCAGCACTCAACGTGCGCTATGGGCGGTTCGGCACTTGTTCTCCAGCCTCAACAGCCGGACGCCGACATTTCATGCTATCCTGGCTGGAACAAGAACATGTCAAGCATGTCAGAATCCGCGCGATGCTACAGCTAAGGGAATGCGTAAGGTATATTGGTAACATGGTGAATTGGCAACACCGCAATAGTGAGCCCTAATGGCAACTTTACGCCTCTATCTAATCCCCATGATGCATCCATGGTATCTGAGAGGGTTATGCGATGTCTTGCGCTGATAAATGATAAGTTTAAGTCACTATGATAGTAAGGCCGGCGCCAGATCGTCACACCCTCTAGGTATTTGGGAAAAGGGGGTTCAGTTTTTGGTTGAAATATATTTCCTGAGACCACAATGAATCTAGCGTGAATCATTTCTTAACTCTTTCACCTTCTTCAATTATTTGCTGGGATAAAAGTCAGTCGCCTTGGTCCCAGTGATGGACGATACGCCCTAAAATCATTGCTCTGCATTGTGTCAAGTGGATTGTGTCAAGTATTTTTTTCAGGTTGAGGGCTGAAATTCTAAGTTATGAACTACGAAGAATGACATCCCCGGGCACATTATCCCGCATCGTTGTCTTTTGATGCTAAGTCTAGTGCATTACCATAGGAGTTACAGCATCATCTCTTCGCCAGCTTTTCCACACACTGAATTGAGACAAGAGCTTGAGGGCATTATTTCCTGCTGACCACTTTCCCGGCCGTGTAGTGTAGTAGCACGACTCTAATCTAGACCCCAGCAGCAAAGACTTCATCCAGCGTATCTACAGCCTCACGCTTATCATTCTCCCCGCAGCGATTCGGCCCCATGCACAGGATACAGCAGCGTTTCTGAAGACCGGTATCCTCGTGCTCAGAGCCGGCGTTGACTTCTTCAAGAGTACTGACGACTTCGCGCTTGTCGTTGGCGCCGCAGCGGTTTGGCCCCATGCAGAGGATACAGCAGCGTTTGGCTATGCCACTGGCCTTCACAGAAGGAAACAAGGTTAGTGGCGAGGACGCTGGAGGGGTGAAATGACGAATGAGAAGGAGCGGAGGAGAGGGTTCTGGGACTCTTGGAAGGGCTTACTTCGTTTGCCGTAGCTGCGAGGGCAACAGGGCCCGCGAGGGTAGGGAGCACAAGGGCGCAGAGGGCGGTGATGGTGGAGAGACGCATGGTGAAGTCAATTACTTCGTGAAAGACAAATCAATCCGAGGAATTTGGAACGGTGGTGCTGGTTTGAGCCTTCCTCGATGAACGGCGTTCGGGTCTGCTTTATAGCTGTCTACCGACCCTCGGCTGGAGCCATATCAAGCGGTCTGGGTGTGGTCATCCCACTGGCAGGCAGCAAGGGCCGAGCTTGACAGTGTTTAATCTAGGTGAATCCAAGGACATGCAGCGAACCAACCAATACAATGAAGAGGAAAACTCCGCATTAAATCAGATAAGATGAATCAGGGCATGTCGGCCGGGGGAAGTACCACTTTCGGCAGGATATGGGGCAGCCCACGGGTTTAGGGCTTGGCCGCTGCCTATACTTAGGTAACATAACAGTCATAGATACGGTAGGGCTGGAGATTCAGGGATGCGTTACTCTGCAGATCGCACTGCTGGTGCATAAAATCCTCCACACCTCTGGAAAACACTACCACTCAGGAAAAGAACGCAAGTGGGTAGCCGCATGTCACGGCTTGAGAGGCCCTTCTTAGCCCTCGGCACAGATCTGATGGCCGTTTTGTGGCGGGCTGTTCCGACACGGCCGGGGTGTGTGCCCGATGCGTCAGGCCTGTTTAAGTCAAGGTCAAAATCGTGCTGGCTGCTAACAGCCACCGGTGTTGTACTTACGCTCACTGCAATCTCGGAAAGCCGCTTTTGAAGTCTGTTTGTAGCATAAATTTCAATGGTTGTGAGCAAAGCCTGGTGCTGGTATATCAAGGCATATAACGGCGATCTGTTTTACCGCTAGACATGGCCTCACCTATTGCTCAGTCATGGTTCGAATTCATACCCGGCTGCCGGGCATATACTGTGCGGGGAGGGCACTAGCAACCATGGTAGGCGTATTACATCTGACGGAAGTGGTCTATTGTATCAACCCTCCCTGTTGATCAGGCCTCATCTGGCTTATCACAAACATGACCCCGCCCTACACCGTACAAACGGCCCTACTAGGGTCCGAGATCAGATAGATTGGATGGATAGTTTGACATCATCAGCCCTACACCATTTAGTCCATTGGATGCACGGCCCGCGTTCAGGCAGGCCGGGACGCCTTAATTGATCTCTCACCAGTCAGGATGTGAAGTTTTGGCAGGCTGGGTATGACAATCCTCGTATTCAGTCAGCTAGCCACCGAGCTTCAGCTGACTTGGCTTTACTTAACCAAGCTTGGCTGATCTTAAGCCCTTGACCTTCAGGTAAGCTGACTCCGCGGGAATGGAGAGTCCACCAACAGTTGATCATCATTGAGCCCGGGGTATGGGGCTGAGTTTTGCGTTCTGAGCGTTGACATCTTCATTGGTTTTTAGAGTCAGCTGGACAGAGCTGAAGGATATCACAGAAAGTTTCTCTGCGGTTATATGCTGGTTGGCCATCGTGTTCTGTCCTTGTTGTCGAGGAAACATATATAAATACCTGCCGCAAAGCTCGCAGGATACCGGGATATCTATCCTTTACCAAAACGCTTTAAGACACCTGAGTGAAGTCCAATTACTCACCATGGCCTTAAACCCTCTCGTCCCAATTGACCCCTCCAACCTCAAAGGCCTCTCCATCCTAATAACAGGCGGCGCATCCGGCCTAGGGCTCAGCGCAGCCCGATACCTCGCATCGTCCGGCGCAATCGTCACAATCGCCGACATCCAGGACGAAGCCGGCACTGCAATCGCCTCCAACCTCGGTGCCCAAGGCTGCATTGTGCAATACGTCCACTGCGACATCACAGACTACGAGTCCCAGGTGGCAGCCTTCCGCGCCGCACTCAACTTCTCACCAAGCAAGGCCCTCGACGCCGTCGCGGCCTTCGCGGGCGTCGACAAGACAGGCCACCTGCTCGACCACGTCACCTCAACGACAACCGAAACCGAGGTCTCCACTGACAGCCCTCCGCCCCCAATCCCCGACCTGCGTCCGATTGACGTGAATCTCAAGGGGACCTTCTACACGGCTACGCTTGCCCTGCATTACTTCCGGCTCCCGCGCCCGTCGGACTCGGCCAGCGCATCGCTTACGATTGTTTCTTCTCTTGCGGGATACATCGACGACACGCATAGCACGGCGTACACGGCGTCGAAGTTCGGGAGCCGGGGTCTGTTCCGCGCGATTCGGGCGCAGGCGAGTTCGCAGCTTAACGTGCGCGTTAACGCGATCTGTCCGTGGGCGATGAGGACGCCGATGATTGAGGGGGCGCTGCAGCGGATGGCGGATTTCGGGATTCTGCCTGGGAAGGGGATTACGATGGTGCCGCATGAGGTTCTTACGGGGGCGTTGGGGAGGATGCTAGTTGACCAGGAGATTCAAGGTATGTTCTTCCACACAGTCGGTCTGGGTTGGGATGCTTGAGGTTTGATTGAAAAGGTAGAGAGCGGATCGTGCTAATGGATGCAGGTCGCGCGTTCGCCATTGTCCCCGAAGGCGCGGTGGATATCGGCGATGATATTGAAGGTGCTTATGGGGGACCGGCGCTTGTGGAGATGATGGCGCTGCGTAAGGCTGCAGGCGACTTCTTGCATAGCTAGCTGCCAGGCTACTGCTAGGGGCAGGGCTGCTCTAGCGATTCTTCCATGCCTTTAAGCCTTCACTACTCCGGTGGCGCATGTTGTCGTGGTTTGACTTTCCGCCCCAAGGCTTCGTTTATTGTTTCCCGGCCGACATGCGCGTTTAGTGATAATTTCACTGTTGATTCTGAACGTTGCAATTGTTCCTCAGTTCCATAGCACTCCGACCGTTAAGTCGTACGTACATAGGTAGTCATGAGGTTGAGCTGAAACATCCCACCGGATATGAGACCCAACCCACGAGGCACCATGCATGAGCCCACCCGGAGACCGTCCCTCTTGTGGCGTTTCGGCCCTGTGAACTATCGATCACCTCCCATGGAACCAGTTCTGGAATAGTATAGCATGGCTGCATGGGAGTCAGACAGGCCCACACTCGCATATATATGGAGCAAACAGCCGAACAGCGCCGCTGAACCCGTGGACGTCCGATATGACGTTCGAGTGGAACGAAGACAGCACATAGGGTATCACTGCCGACTATGTGTACCTCGAACCTCAGCCCATGAAGAGAGTAGCAGTGTTCATCTTGCAATTATTCATAACGGCCATCGGAAATATGTGGAGAATGCCAATGCGACCGGCGGCGCCGCGTTACGAAGTTACGTATCTACGCCCAGGAATTTCCAAAGCCACGAGTACAAGATGGCAAGATGATTTGCCAAGATACGAAGATGGGGTACGAGTCAAGTGAAGCGTGAACTGCCCAGCCAGATCAGATATCCGCCTCTAGTCAATCCTGTCCTGCTCGTATCGAGGAAAGATAGCCGACCACCTATACCGTATCCGACCGTGTGGTTTTTATTCTTCTCCTCCTGCATAGCTCTACTCCGGAGTAAGATCATCAAAAGCACCAACAGCCCTTGACAGTAACAGGACAAGCATGTCACGGCATCTTGCTTGGCCAGGCTTCTCCTGGTCAAGCCTGCAGCAGGATTCTTGTTGGGAGCTTGGCCCATGCTTGGAGGGGAAGCTGGGGGTCCACTGCACGTCTCCACCGCAGAGTTTTCATCTTATCTGATCCCAGTCTTTGCCGGGAACAAGCAAGCTGCAATTGATGATACGGAGCAAGATGTTGTCAATGTGCTGATCATGGTGATGATCTGACTCTACACCACCTGTTTGACCTCCCACCCTCCTTTATTACTCTGTATGGCATTGAGAATCCCATAGCCAAGCTAGAGTGGAGCTAGAGCAGACCCCCTGCCCTCAATCTAAGCGAGGTCAGCTGTTGGATATCCCTCGACTGTGGATATTTTGTTGAAGATCCAACCTATGGCATGATATCTCCGGGAAACGGTGAACCCACGATCCCACGCACCGTGGACGCACCCATCTGATTAGATTATCTGCCTGCATCCCATGTGTCCGAGGTGGAGTGGAACGGCGGACTTGACGCTGTACACAGTTAGCTCTGCCTGCACACACAAATCAGAACCCATGTCAGCCCACACGACCGGGATCCCATTACGCAGTCCGCTCCATCCGACTTCGGAGCGTCTCGCAATGTGGATCTGCCCACGGTAGCTCCAAGCAGGCTTTTTGAATCCCGCCCGCTATAAGGGCCCGACGCCCTGCTGCTCAGCTCGTCTTCCGAAATCTTATCTGATCGACGCCTTCACCCTCACACAGCCAGCTCGATCAGGATCACCATGGCCATCCGCTCCAGGCTCCGCGCTGCCTTCCGCCGCCGCGCCACCGACGATGCCACCACAGCGAGCACTGACACCGAGCTCCCGCCTGCAACCGCCCAGCAGGAGACCTTCGGCAAGACGGACCCCTCGCCCGAGTCGGGCGTCAGCGGTGCAGACGGGTCCGTCGCGAACCCCGACGCCGCAACGCCGCCGGAGGAGCTGCAGCGCGGTGTCAACGAGGTCGAGGCCGTCACGCAGACGTGGAGCAAGAAGTCGCTGATTGCGGTGTTTATCAAGTGCGCCACGCCCTTCATCCCCATATCCTAGGGCATAGCTAACGGGTGCAGCATCTGGGCCCTCTACTTCGTCAACGCCTTCCAGTCCTCCATCATCAGCAACCTGCTCCCCTACGTGACCTCCGACTTCGAAGCCCACTCGCTGCTGACAACCATCTACGTCGTCGCCGACTGTTTCTCCGCCGCCGTGTTCATCCCGCTGTCCAAGATCCTCGATGTCTGGGGCCGCGCCGAGGGCTTCCTCTTCATGACGGTGTGCGCGACACTCGGCATGGTCATCATGGCGGCCTGCCATAACCTGCCGACGTTCTGCGCTGGATACGTATGTCATGCTCCCTCTATTTCAATTCCCTCCACCCACTAATACATGGATGCGTAGGTCTTCTACACAATCGGCTTCAGCGGCATGACCTACTGCGTCGACGTGATCACAGCCGACAGCTCCAAGCTCAAGAACCGAGCCCTCGCCTACGCATTCACGTCCTCCCCCTACATCATCACTGCCTTCGCGGGCCCCAAGGCCTCCGAGGACTTCTACGCCCTGTACGGCTGGCGCTGGGGCATGGGCGTGTTCAGCATCGTATTCCCCATCACCGCAATGCCGCTGTATATCCTGTTCAAGCGGAACCTGCGCAAGGCGAAGAAGGAGGGTGTGCTGAATCAAGAGGATTCAGGCCGGACGTTCCTGCAGAGTGTGTGGCATTATATTATCGAGTTTGACGGTGCGCACCCACTTCCCTGAACACTGTAAGCCGAGGGCGTGCTAACGCTTGTTCTAGCATTCGGCATGTTCGTCTTCTCCGCCGGCCTGGTCATCTTCTTCCTCCCCTTCGATATCGCCGACAGCGCACCGAACGGCTGGGGGACGGGTTACATCATCGCCATGATCGTCGTGGGCGTGGTCATGCTGGGCATATTCGTCCTGCACGAGCTGTACATTGCGCCTGTGCCTATGCTCAAGTTCAGCTTCTTGATGGACAGGACTGTCATCGGCGCGTGCTTACTGGATGCAACGTACCAGATCTCGTACTACTGCTGGGCCAACTACTTCACCTCCTTCCTGCAGATTGTCAACGACCTCACCCTCGCTGAATCCGGATACGTCTCCAACACCTTCGACGTTGTCTCGGGCGTCCTTCTCTTTGGTGTTGGCTATGTTATCAGATACACCGGGCGCTTCAAGTGGCTGCTCTACATTGCGGTGCCGCTATACATCTTCGCCCAGGGACTTATGATCTACTTCCGCCGCCCCAACCAGAGCGTTGGCTATCTAGTCATGTGTCAGATCTTTATCTCCATTGGTGGAAGTATCTTCATCATCATCGAGCAGCTGGCGATCCTGGCAGCCGTTGACCACCAGCACGTCGCGACTGTGCTGGCCCTGCTGAATGTCGTTGGAACCATCGGTGGCGCGATGGGCAATACCATTTCCGGCGCTATCTGGACGAATACCTTCCGTCCGGGATTGATGAAGTATCTCCCCGCTGCTGAGCTGTCGAATATCGATATGATCTACGACGACCTGGACACCCAGAAGAGTTATGCTATTGGGACGCCCGCGCGAGAGGCGATTCAGAAGGCGTATGGGTATGCGCAGACGAGGATGCTTGCGGCTGGAACGGGTATTATGGCGCTGTGCTTCCTGTGGACGATTATGATTCGGAATATCAATGTCGGGAAGATCGCGCAGGTGAAGGGTAATGTCTTCTAAGCGTGTCTTGCGCTTGCTGCCATGCCCAGGCTTTGTTTTCTTACAGACTGATGGCTGCGTCCATCGCTTTTGCATAAAAGTTTGACGGCGTTCGGATGGTGTGCCATAAGGTTGTGGTCAGGTGTGCTAGACGTATAGCTCAAACTCATTATATACTAGAATAATATTCAATCTCGTTCCCTCAGCTCGTGTCAGCTTTTCTGTCCATGTTGACAAGGTGATGCGCCTGTTACTTAGCACTTTGGGCGCGGCACCTGTCCTCCGCGTCATCTTCAGAGGCCATCTTCATTCAGGTTATCATCATCAAGGCCATCTTCATCCAGGTCATCTTCATCCAAGTCATCTTCATCCA